CCAGTTTGCGGCAGAAATCACTTTGCAAAGAGACCACTTTGCAACAGAAACCGCTTTGCAGCAGAAGCCACTTTGCAACAAAAACCACTTTGCTGCAGACACTTTGCAACACACACCACTTTGCAGCAGCAACCAATTTGCAACAGAAACCACTTTGCAGTAGAAACCACTTTGCAACGGACAACACTTTGCAACAGAAGCCGCTTTGCAAAACAAACCGCTTTGCAAAGGAAACCGCTTTGCAAAAGAGACCACTCTGCAACAGAAACCACTCTGCAACAGAAACCACTTTTCAACGGACACCACTTTGCAACAGAAACCACTTTGCAACACACACCTCTTTGCGGCAGAAACCACTTTGCAGCAAAAACCACCTTGCAATAGAAACCATTTTGCAAAGGACACCAGTTTGTAACAGACGCTACTTTACGGCAGACACATCTTTGCAGTAGACAGCACTCTGCAGCAGAAACCATTTTACAACAGCAATAGTCTGCAATAAAAACCAGTTTGCAAAAAACACCACTTTTTTGCATGATTCTCTCTCTTTGCTCCTAACGCGATCCGTCTCAGCCGCCCTCCTCTCCCATTCCATTGTACCATGTGCTTTCTCGTCCCCCTTTCATAAGTCAAGTAACAATCACTGCTGCTAATCTATCAGCTGTCAACAAAGTAGCCAGCTCGACACATTTTCACGAAGTAACCCTTCATTTACCTGGCGGCTGCATCATTTGCTGCTGATAGGAAGACTGCATAACAGAAGATTGAGCTGACATTTGCATAGATCTCTGTGACATTTGCCCTTGCGAAGGGCCTCCTCCCATCTGTTGGTTCATTCCCATCGACTGCTGCTGAAAAAAAGAGTTCAATCTTACTGGTTACTGAATGTAATCCAAGAAGTGTTTGGCAATGCTGTAAGATTGCCAATAACGCATTCTGATACATCTGATTGTGTATAGAGATAAGTTTAGGATGAAGCAGCTGACAATTTCTGCATCATGTTGAGAAGCAATGTTGAGAAGTAATCTGATGAACTGAATAACAACAAAATTTCGAAAAATGTCGAAATTAGCTAAGAACTTAGTGGTATAAAAAACAGAAATGAAAGAAAAAGTTAGAAAACGAAAGCGTGAACTGAGAACGTGGTGATATGATAAATTTGACATTTTTTTTTGATTAAAATTTAAATTTGCCCTGTTTTCTCCTTTTTCCTTTTCCTCGTCCTTTCGTCTTCGGAAAGTCATCCTTTTCTTTCGATAAAAAAAAGGAGACAAATTTGAACTGTAGATTTTCCACATTAACGTTTCCACATCAATTTTTGCCATATCATAGGACGAAGACTTCACCTATCTCTTCCTTCACCTTAATACTTTGTACAGCTCGGAAATGAAACACGATTATTTATGAAGCATCTAACCTGATACATATTCGTGGCCTGATTCATCACTTGCTGTTGCTGTTGTTGCTGATGCCCATATGGCATTTGCTGCACTGCACTACCCATGTGCTGTGGCTGCATCATTGGTTGCTGTTGCTGCTGCTGTGGCTGTTGCGTGTGCTGCTCGAAAGGCATTCCTCCTCCTTTTGCCATCGCTGCTCCTGAACCAACTGGTGGATAATCCGGTGCAGCAGCATTCGCTCCAAACATCCCACCCGTTGGAGCGTTTATCATTGGTTCCATCTGAAGATATGCTTCTTTTTTCTAAAAAAGAAAATAGTGTCATACACATACCACAATCAAGTATTTTTGCTTAATAATATGTTGTTACGGTTATGCCACAGAGAGAATTGTCTTCAGCCTGTTTTAGATCAATGTTCGAGAAAGGAACTCGTCTAACGTCCTCAGTAATTGCTGTTAGTAAAGTACCACCATCACGCTCCGTTTAAGTGCCTTGCTTAATCAAACACTTTAAGATATGAAAGGCAGCTTTGGCTCTTTTGGATGCAGAATAAATAAATCACCCAAAATGCAAATGCCTAGCGCCACAACGGATTTTCGAGCTTATCCCAAAATACCAAAAATACTAAAACCGCCCGGAATGCCAGAATGGGTATCCCACGTTAATGATGTTAACGGGATGCTATGCTCCAAACTTTTCGAACATGAACTGTTCGAACATGAACATGAACTCACTGCCTGCCCAATGTATGGATGTTCCAACAAAAAATGAAAATATCCAGCTTGCCAGCTTGAAGTTTGTACCAATATACTAACAAAAATTCGAGATTTACCTCTCCCTACTCTCTATTCTAAAACTTAAAAACATGATCTAGCTGAATTATTTCTTAAAAACAAGGAAACTACTTTATCTAACTTCTAAAAGTAGATTTTCTTCAACACAGAAATTCAAAGAAACC